ATTTGTTTTTTTTTATTATGTATACAGTATTCTTCCTGCAGGTCTCATTACAGATGGTTGTGAGCCACCATGTGGTTGCTGGGAATTGAACTCAGGACCTTTGGAAGAGCAGGCAATGCTCTTAACCGCTGAGCCATCTCTCCAGCCCCCCCTCAGTCTTTTATTAAGTCCCAATTCTGTGTCATCCTGGCTAGTCCTAAAATTGTTTTCTACAGTGAAGTCAGGAATACTAGTTTGTCCCAAAGTGATGTCCCCTAAAATATCAGAAGACTCTTTGGAGAGCCATGAGATGAATGGAGCTGTGTGCCCGCCCTGCTCTGTCCACCCTGACAAAACCACCTTCATGTTTTAGCTGCTAGCATCCCCTCAAGACCTTAGAGGAAACCAGTGAGAACAAACTCTGTGCTCCGGTCCTCTTCATGTAAGCAAGGAAATTATATTACTGCCATTTGTTGTTTTACTTAGTCCTAATAATTAGTCCTCAGTGGTCTGTGATAATCGAGACACTGGGCCCTATAGAAATTGTACTGAGGCAGAAGAATAGGACTGAGCGAGGGCCAGGAAAACCCTGGCACAAAAGCTGTGAGATCAGCACATGAACCAAATGTTTGGCCTAAGGGAAGACTTTGACTCAGGTGGGTGTGCTACAGATGGGTCAGCATGGGCAGAAAAGCCATGACAAGTGTGTGTGAGAAATTGGGGCTGGCGAGATGGCTCAGCGGTTGAAAGCATCGGTGCTCTTCCAGAAGACCCAGGTTCAATTCCCCCAGCACCCACATGGCAGCTCACAACTGTCTGTAACTCAGGTTTCAGGGGGTCCAGCTCCCTCACACAGACATGCAGGCCAAACACGAATGCACATACAAAAAAGAAAGCCATGTGAGAAAACTGGTACTGTGCACCTGTCATGTCAAGGGTCACAAGCCTCCCAGCACAACCGTTGAGCAGTTAACATCCTTCCAGCTCTGGTCTCCTTCCTCTCTGGCTCTTAATGAACTGTCTGTTTTTGTTATAGTACAGATTTCTCTGTTCAGTTTTTCTTCTGGGGTGCAGAAACCTGGAAATCCCAGGAAGGTGACAACCAGACTCCAATGTCACCCTGTATCAGTATTGTGACAAAGCATGGGTTGTGTTTCCCGGGAATGGGCAGTCGCCCTCCTTCCTTTATGAGAATGGAGATTGCAGTGTGGATTACAGTGCAGGAGAGATCACCATGAGAAAGCCAGCACTTGCCTGGACTGGACGTGGTAACTGCAGACAGACTTGTGGAAAGGAGAGATTAGTTGCTTAATTAATGCTTTCGAAGCAACAACAGATTTAGAAGATCCCTGAATGAAATACTGAGAGCCTTGATCCTTATAGCAGCACGTTCTATTTAGTCACTGCGGTTATCCATTTTAATGTAACAAATCAGAACTACAGGTGAGCAGTTTATCAAGGGATGCCTCTCTGCATTTAAGTGCTAACAAACGCACATACAGCATTGATGGAATGTACAAATTACCACAAAAAAATGAGAGTTCCAGTTGATTTCAGACAGAAAGGAACACGTCTTGCGTTGCACCTCTACTTGGTCCCAACTTCCCTAAATGTGGAGATGCCCCCTTCCATGGTCTCTATGGCTTTCTGGAGGACCTGTAAGGTGAGCTCCATAGTCTGGACAAACTGTTCCAGTACATCTGCGGCTGCTTCCGCCGGCTTGTGGGCATCCTCCGTTCTCAGGGCATCTTGCAGCTTCTTCAAGGCATCCTCTGGAGTGGCCTGGGGACGTTCTGGACTTGTGATTTTCTCGGATGTGGTGGCGCCCGATGGCTCTTTGGTCTCTTCTCTATAGAAGTCACTTAATCGGAGACCCATGATGGGGAACTGCATCAGGTTAGAGAGAGAAGATTCCAGACTCCCAAGGATGAGACTACAGCTCAGCACAGAGGCAGCGGCTGGGGCCTGGATATTTCTAAGCATTTCTCGAGCTGTGTGCTGTGGGCCCACGTTGGCACACTTCTCCACTGCAGAGGTCACAGCACTCGCCACCGTGGAACAGAAAGGCTGCTTCTGCACTTGTTTGTGCTTGGCTTCCACCATCAGTTGCATCTCTTTAAAATTGGTGATCATTTGCTCAAAGAAATCTTTAATGCAACTGTCTTCCTTCAGATCCACCGGGAGGACCCGAGTCTTCATCGTGAGGTTAAACAACTCAACGAACTTATTTATGAAGGAAACCAGATCTCGAATGTGGAAGAAGAATAGTCTGGCAGCTTGACTCAGTCTCTCTTTATCCTTTTCTGACTCTGAAGACATTTCTCCAACAAAGAACTCGCAGCCCTGCTAAGCAAAGCAGAACACAAATGAAAACTAAGATTGGAGCCAGCCACCATGGAGAGACTAAAAGGATGACTGAAACCCACAAAGTCCTGGCCTCTCCAGTAGCAAAGCGGACATGGTTCTGGGCTTTAATAGACACAGAGGGTAGAGCAGGAGGGTAGCACAAGACATCTTGCTGAATTTACACCACTTACACGTTGGGTAGCTAGCTGGGCATTCGCGGGCATGGAGGCCATTGAAGAGGATCCCTCCCTCTCAGAACCAGCTTTGGATCCCACCTGTAGTTGCCCTGGTAACACACTAACTTTACAAAAGGGAAAATATCACAAAATATCACATCTGTCCTTAGATTGGAAATGCTACAGCAGAGGGAGGAAGCGTGAGAGGGGGAGGGCGGGACGGCAGGGCTTGCTCAGTCTCTATTAAGAGGAGGCTGTTTCAATCTGGGCATAGTGGTGCAGGCCTTTAATTCCAGCCAAGGTGGCTGGGGCTCTGTGAGTTTAAGGCCACCGTCAGTACAAAGTGAGTTCCAGGACACCCCAAGCCAAAGCCATGTAGAGAGACCATGCTCACAAAAAGAAATGTGGGGAGGGAGGGCAGGAAGGGGGGCACAGAATTGCTTCCTAGTTTGGTAGTTTGTAGATTTTTTTTAAACTTATCTTGAATTATTCTGATCTATTTTTGTGATAGAAAGAATGAAATCTGAGCTCTACCTCTGGCCGTGAGCCACATGACCTTCTGAACTGCCTGTAAGAATGTAAGATTACAACTTTGTCTGGTGTGGGGGGCGGACAATGGTGCTGCACGCCTTTAATCCCAGCACTCAGGAGAAAGAGACAGGCAGAATTCGAGACCCGTCAGGTCTACAAGAGCCAGTTCCAGGACAGTCAGAGCTGTTACACAGAGAAACCCTGTCTCAAAGTCTCAAAACACAAACAAACAAAGTAAGATTACATTATCAGTCACTTAGATGGGACCCCTCAAAGCTGTAAGCTGAAGAAGTAAGATACACAGAAAGCCCTGCTACAAAACTGTCTGGGCCCTAAGGAGATGGACACCCACAAGCCTGGTGACCTCAGTTTGACCCCAGAACCACGTAGAAAGCGAGAAGGGACTCCTGTGAGCTCTCTCCTGAGGTCACTAGTGCAGCTGTAGGAAGGACAGCCTCCACACCACAACAGTAACAGCAGCAGAGAGGCTGAAATGCCTCTAAAGTGAGAGGAATGTGAGAGGAATGTTTGGTGTTTACTGATATAAAGACAAACTATTACAAAGACAAAACCTCCGCAGTGGCTCGCAGCCCTTCACTATCAATCCTGAGTCCTACCTCGGAGTGTGGGAGTGGGGAGCTTTTCTTTCCCGCTTTCTCCCCTGTTTTGGATATTGACACAAGCCCTAGTCATGCTTGCCTTGATACTCTGATCATTTCTCTCTCTCTCTCTCTCTCTCTCTCTCTCTCTCTCTCTCTCTCTCTCTCTCTCTCTCCCACTTCTCTTCCCCATACAAATGCTCACAAACTTATTTCTATCTCGAAAGCAGGATTCTCTCTCTCCTTCCTACCATGCCCTTATCTTAGCTCCTCCCTGTTGAAGTGTGACATAGGGGAGAGGGCACTTGTCTTCGTGCCCTGGGAAGGGGTCAGTGTGGAGATGTCACAGATGCAGGAGCTCCAGACAAGCAGAGAGCAAGGAGTGCAGGCTTAGACTCGGCTCACCCTCTCCACTCCTGCAGTCCACAATCTGGGGAATGGTGCCGCTCACAGTGGGGTGGGTCTTCCCACCACAGTTAATGCAGTCTAGACAATCCCCCACAGACATGTTCAGAGGCCCATCTCTCCGGTGATTCTAGAGTCTGCCAAGTTTGACAACACTAAACGTCATATCCCTCCTCCTAGAAGCTGTCAAGATTTACAACTTGTCTGCTCTTCCTCTCTCCTCCACCTTGAACTCCAATTGAATCGTCCTTAAGTTTTCTTCTGGGTTCATTTTTACATTATTTTATCTCTGAGGCTAAGAAGCCACAAAAGGGCTCCAACATGCTCCTTGGTAACATACACAATCAAATACTGTATGCTGTCCCAAGACCCCCCCCCCCAGGAACCCCAACAGTGCACAGAGTATCAGTCTAACCCATCCCTTTTCTCTTCGTTCCTATCTGGCTATAGTACCTGGCAGTTGGAGCTTGACAGTGTGCCTAGATCCTCTTCCCTGCCATACCAGAACAAAGGACAAAACAGCACATCCACCAGCAGGCGCCAGACAAGTCCAGGTGAGCCCTGCACTTAAGGCAGGAGGTAGCTGCTTTTTTGGGGGTGGGGAGTTCTTTTTTTTTAATTTATTAAAGATTTCTGTCTCTTCCCCACCTCCGCCTCCCCTTTCCCTCCCCCTCCCCCAATCAAGTCCCCCTCCCTCGTCAGCCCAAAGAGCAATCAGGGTTCTCTGCCCTGTGGGAAGTCCAAGGACCACCCACCTCCATCCAGGTCTAGTAAGGTGAGCATCCAAACTGCCTAGGCTCCCACAAAGCCAGTACGTGCAGTAGGATCAAAAACCCATTGCCATTGTTCTTGAGGTCTCAGTAGTCCTCATTGTCCGCTATGTTCAGTGAGACCTGTTTTAACCCAGGCTTTTTCAGACCCAGGCCAGCTGGCCTTGGTGAGTTCCCAAAGAAGGTATGGAATATATACATATTAGAGTACTACTCAGCAGTAAAAAACAAGGACTTCTTGAAGATGACTGCTTTTAAACTAGGAGGCCTAGGCTCATCTATAGTTGTTGAGCCAACCCCATGACAAGCCTGGGAGATGCATGAACTTGCAGTCCTGCTGGGGACTCGTGCATCATTGGTAATTAGGCTCATACACATGTGGAGTCGCCTGACCACCATCAGCCAAGGGCAACCATGTAGGTAACCAAGATGGTGGTACCCACGGGGGCATAGCCTGGTGGTGCTAATAAAGATAATGATAAGATAATGTTGTTATTCTTTTGGTCCCTGCCCTAGCCACGCCCACTCCCATAACCTCTGACCTGCCCGTCGCCATCTTGGGACCCTTCCTCTTTCTGCTTCCTTGGCGTGTGCACCCGTATTCTCTGTCTCTCTCTTCTTTTATCTCTCCTCTCTCCTTTTATCTCTTCTTTCTTTCTTTCTTTCTTTCTTTCTTTCTTTCTTTCTTTTTCTTTCTTTCTCCCTCTTCCTTAATAAATACTTATGGCTATCTCCTGTGTTTACGTGTCTGTTACCTGCCCCCACCGTGGGCCAAGGAAGCGTGCCCTCCTGTAGCCGCTTTCTCATGGCAGGCTCTGCCAACCCGCCTGGGGATCATTTTTTAAGAATAACAAATGTGGCTGCCTTGGACCTACACTCCATCCTCTGGGACCACATGTTTCATATTTACCTGCACAGACATTGCTCAGCCATCTCTACACCCCCCTTCCTTCCTTCCTTCCTTCCTTCCTTCCTTCCTTCCTTCCTTCCTTCCTTCCTTATTTCATCCCTTCTTACTTCTTTCACCTTCCCGGAGTCCCACTAGGACAATGGAAAGAGCAGACCAAGACACCACAGGCCTGGACAAAGAGACTGCACAGTAGCAATGGCAGCTATTGCCTGGGTCCTCACACCTAAGGTAATCTCTCCATAGACCAACTGCTGTCCTGAGGCTGTGGGGATGAACACATTGAAAAGGTCAACTCTGCTACCCACTGTGTCCCCAAACCTGAATGCTTATCTCACCTGTCCTGCAGGGCCAATCCCTTCTGTGAATGGAGCTTTGAAATGTGGGACCCAGATGGCAAAAAGCGAGGTGCAGCAGAAGGGGCAGCCTGGGGACAGGGTTCGAGCTGAATACTGTCCAGGGTCTAAATGCCAGACTCTTTGCTAAATGCCAGAAATCAGCATGGTTGGGGGTGCGGTCACTCCCTCTTGGGTCTCCTGGTTAAGTTTGTTCTGTGCTTTCTTCTCTTGGCATTGACTTCCTTCTGCTTCACCCCACCCTAGTGCTCTCAAAGCCTCCCAGAGGCAGGTAGTCCTCTACTTTTCCTGGAGCAATGAGACTTTTCCTGGGACAAGAGGTCCAAAGTAGTGTGGGAATTACTGCTCACCTTCAATTTTCACCTATAAATACAGCATCAATGGACATGCTGGGTTGGAGAGATGGCTCAATGGTTAACAGCATGACGTGTGCTTCTGGAGGACCTGGGTTCAGTTACAATTACCTACATGGCAGTTCACAGCTGCCCGTAACTCCAATGCCCTCCTCTGACCTCTGCAGGCTCCAGCACAAGCTGTGCTCATGTGCGCTAGGGCTCCTACTCACACACGGACACATAAAATAGAAAAGGAATGCTGAGAGCTGATGTGGGAAAATAGTCTTCCCAGGGATAAGTCGCCTCATCAATCAGCCAATACCAAATGTTAAACACTGAAATCATATACATACAAGTAACACGAAACGGATTGAAAGGATTGTATATATATATTTAGTGTGTGTGTGTGTGTGTGTGTGTGTGTGTGTACACTTAACAACAGCAGCTAGAGAAACAGAAGCCATGATTTTAGGGGGGAGAAGGGGGAGCACAGAGGAGACAGTGCAGGGAGGAAAGGGAGACCCAGGCACTGAGTCTTCCGGGACCAGTGCCCCTCTGCTAAGACAATAACAAGTGAAAAAGAACAGAACTCCTAGCCTGGAAAAAAAAAAACTCCGGGATACATTTTTTACTGTATCTGGTTTTGTATCTCCTAAGACTCTGAACAAAGTCACCAGCAACAGATAAAGGTCCAAACGCAGTAGAAGCCAAAGAAAATAAATCTGGAAGAGTTGATAAGATGGATTCCAGGGCTACAACCAAAGAGTCATCCCTCTGCCTGTCTGGTTTTGTTCAGTTTTACAGCATTTTTAATAAAAGAAAAACTCATTAAAAAAACAGAAAATATAGAAACAAGTTCTGCCAATTTATTAATCCCTCAAGTTACATTGTGTATGGCATCAATGGATTGTATTGTAGGAAACTGAAGCCTGAGAAGTTCTGAGAAGAAATATGCCAGGAAGAGGTGGCTGTAAACCCGACAGGCAGAAGGACCCAGCAGAGACCAGCAAAGCCTGTAGATCATCACATTCCACCAGAAGCTTCCAGATGAACCCACATGAAAAAGCCCTTCAACAATACTCCTAAACATCAGAGGGGACAGAAGCTTGGGGAGCCCAACAAGGTAAGCGATGCAGAAAGTCCTGCGAACGAGTGTTCTAACACCCTGAGTGCCAAGGGGTAAGGGCTCTGGAATAATGCCAGTTGTGAGGAGCCGCATATAATGCCAACTTTGTTTTGAGAGGATCGCAGGGCATGCTTTGGCGATTGCCTCCTTGAAGACGCCAGGGAAGGAATACTGTCACTGAAAGATGTAGACTAAGTCACTGAAGGAGAAAAGCAATGAAGACATTCGTTTTAGGAAGGCTGATGCCATGATGCATGAAAGTGTGTCGCTTGTGTGGATAACATGTACTTTCTATGTCATAAATGTCATCAAGAGACCAGAAGCTGGTTCTGAGAGAATGAAAGTGAGCTGTTACTTTAGTTACTGCACAGAACTTGCTTGTACTCTGTGACGTCAACCACACCCGGTGTGGCACACACACCATGTGCCTCTAAACAGCCTTTGTTGGGGTGAGCACTGTTTTTCTCAGAAATGCTTCAAGTGCCTAATGGGATCCTTTGATAAGTGGGAATGGATAAACTTGATAGTCTACTATCTAATAGAATGCTCAAAAAAAGGCACTAATGTGCCTTCTGTTTTAAATATTTCTCAGAGGAATTTATATCAGAAAATGTATCACAACTTAAAATTTGAACACCAGAGCTTTGATTTGAAGTGAGGCTCAGGACTAGACAGCAGCTGCTCTCTCCTGCAAGGCTCCTGGCCGTATTTGTATGCTGTGTCCACTCACAAGTGGACAGTGGAGAGCCAAGACTGAGCAGTGCATATGCTGAGAGAACACTAGTAACAACATGGGAGCCTTAGCCCTCCCTTCTCTCCCTCTCTTTCTCTCTGTGTGCGCAGGTAATGTAATATGTAATTATTATGGACAAAGTCCAGATCTACACAGCAGTGAATATACTGACATAGTGAACTTGTATGTATTAATCATCCTTTGACTTTGACTTAGCTTTAGGAAAGACAGAACAAGACCCATCTTATTTTTCTATGACAGTGGGATTCCCCTCTGTAAGCTGTGAATACCATTGGTTAATAAAGAAGCTACTTTGGGCCTACTGCAGTGCAGAATAGGGCCCGGTGAGAATTCGAAGCAGATACAGGAAAGAGCAGGTGGAGTCAAAGAGAAGGCAAGGAGCTGCCAGAGAAGAAAGATGCAGCTGCCACCCAGAACCTTACCAGTAAACCACGAGCTTCATGGTAAAATACAGAATAATAGGAATGGGTTAATTTAAGATATAAGAGCTAGCCAATGAGAAGCATGAGCTAATAGGCCAAGCAGTGTTGTAATAATATAGTTTCTGTGGGATTGCTTGGGTCTGCAGCTGGGAACAAATGAACAGCCTCCGACTACAATCCCACCATACTATCTCCTCCAATTTAGTGAGAAATAAATCCCAGGGGTCTTATCATTTCATCTTAAATGTCCTAAGTATACATTCCTAAAAGGAAAACTTTCTGAAATGTATCAAATCAACACTATTTCAACAAGACCACTTTGGAGAGAGAGCAGTATCATGGCATGAGAATTTACTTTATCAGCATAAAAGCTTTTGAATATGTTTCATAGGTAATAAAAAATTAGGATCAGTAAGATAGTTCGGAGAGTAAAAGTGTGTGCTGTCAAGCCTGACAACCTGAGTTTGATCCCCAGAAGTCACGAGGTAGAAGGAGAGAAATAACTTTTAATTCCGCTTGTTTTGTTTTTCTACCTATTTATTCCAGGGAAATAACACAGATGATGGGGGGAAAATAAACTAACCAAAACATCCATATAAACATTACATCAGTGACATAATTTGAGATTTAATGAATAATGGTAAAGGTTTGGAATAGTTTATATAACTAATAAAGTGCTTATAAAATTAGAAACATAGGAAAGTAAATGAGCTAAAATATGAGAAATTTTACTATTACTACAATTTTACCGTGATTATAACTTTGTAGAGATCCTTATGCACACAGACAAAGTTTAGGACTAACTACAACAAACTAAGATAGTAGGACTGCAGATCTTTCTCCATATAAATATACATTTTTGTAATGGTTTTCTATGTAAAATATTCTGTTATTATTTTTAATTCCTCGACATTATGATTTGGGCGTCTACCAGAACTCAAATCATATGAAGCATGAAGCTTCCTCTGTGAAGTTTCCTGCAGGCCCTCAATCTTCATTTTTCTCCTAAATCCCTGTAGCTCTTGGCAGACAAAGCAATGGTGCTGTTCATAAAGTACCCTAAAGAGTCTTGTTGGAAACCAAGACCAGCAAGAAGCGGCAGAGCAGTAAAGGAGGGGGTGAATAAGAGAGAAGCATAATGAGATATTTGTATAAAATACCCTAATGAAGCCCATTGTTTTGAATGTCAACTTTAAACTTTAAATAGGTATTCTAAAGCATGATAAACCAGGTGTGGTGACACATGCCTTTAATCCTAGCATATGGGAGACAAGACAAAAAGGTCTCTATGAGTTTTAGGTCAGCCTGGATTATATCCAAAGTTCCATGCCAGCCAGAGATATTTAAAAATAACAATAATAATTCTGACAGGCAGTAGCCTTTCTCTTGGAATGTGGCTCTTTTCCAGTAAAATTAAACCATCTGCACATTACCATGAAATTAACCTTAATTCCTTTCTTTTTTATCTCTCCCCCACCCCACCCACTTTGAGACAGACTCAGGTTGGTCTTGGACTCACTGTGTAGCAGAGGTCGACCTTAAACTTGAACTCCTGATCCTCCTTCCTCTACCTCTTAAATTCTGTGATTGAGTTAGTTATGCACAGCTACTCTTGGACTCAAAATCCTGTTTTACTACCAAACACTCACATCAAACTAAATTTTAACCCCCTAGACCAGACGTAGACCAAGCACAGCAAAACTGCATCAGTAAAGGCATGGGTGAGATGGGACTCCCAGAAGCCACGAGCTCCACCTGCTGGCTAGCAAGTCCCCAACAGGCTGTGGGAGGGCTCTAGACTCTGGCTTAGTTGAGGTGACAGCAGGCTGCAGAACTGGAGAGTAACCCCCCAAACAGGACTTTCTCACTCACAGCGAGTACTGGTTATGTGACAACTCAGATTTTATGGGAGCCCAAATCTGCCATACATAGTCTGTTAACTGTTAAACTTACCTCTGAGACTCCTTGTAATGCCACGATCTTGAACAGGCTCCAGGCAAGTAACTGTCGAAAATTTAATAAAGTGGTAGTAAGTGTATGGCCCAGAATGCCTCTTGGGCATGGACAGCTTTGTGTCATCGGCAGGCATCAGTGAGCTTTAAGAAGCCTAATTACAGGGCTTCTGCTCCACTGAGTACAGAACCAGACTGAGACTCCGAAGCAAACAGTTGAAAGCCAGAATGGAAGCAGTTCAGTTATCCACTCTGGGTCCTCCGTGCAGCAATAGGAGTCTTAATTATCATGTACGCATTTAAAGGGATCAGTTCAAAAGCCCACAAGCTGTGACCCTTCCTGAATGATCCCAGTGTCTCTCTACCTGGGGCAATACTAATAGAGAGAAATAAAAAGTGGGAATTGTTTAAAAATTGACTTTACACAAGTCAAACACAAATCTTGTATAACCATTTTTTTTTTCAATTTGACACTGTAGTTATAAATACCTTAACTTCCTAGCCTGATTAGAAAAACCAAGGAAGTGGGGCATCACCAATAGTTCCTTCTTTGTGTTTCACTAAGTTGAAGAAAAGCACTCCTGGAAATTGTACCGAACACCAACTACAAACAACAAAAGCAGTTCAAAGATGCTAGCTGGCTTTAGTTTCAGTGTTAGGGTAGACAGCATCAAATTCTTCTAAGTGTGCTCTGGTGCACTGAACACAAGATAGTTGTTCTTTTAACACAAAAGGACAGGGCTGGAGAGATGGCTCAGTGGATAAGAGCACTGGCTGCTCTTCCAGAGGTCATGAGTTCAATTACCAGCAACCACATGGTGGCTCACAACCATCTGTAATGAGATCTGGCGCCCTCTTCTGGCATGTGGGCATACATGGAGGCAGAATGTTGTATACATAATAAATAAATCTTAAAAAAAAAAAGTTAAAAAAAAACACAAAAGGACAGATGCGAGAACAAACAAGATCAGAATGTAAGTTGGTAGTCCGTTGCCTGCCTTGTAAAACAGAAACAGGAAGATAGACTTACAACACAGATAACAGAGAAATGATTGTTTGGTAATAATTATATATATTATAATATATATAAATATATAAATATTATATGTAAAGCAGGGCTAGAGAGATGGTTCTGAGGTTAAGAGCACTGGATGCTCTTTCCAAAGAACCTGAGTTCAGTTGCCAGCACCCATATGGAGGCTCACAACTGTCTGTAACTTCAGTTCTAGGGAATTCGGTGTCTTCTTCTGGCCTTAGAGGGCACTAGGCACACACATGATGCACAGACATGCATACATGCAGACGAAACACTCATACACATAAAATAATTATAAAACTAACCATTGTAGACTTTAACAGAATGTCAAAGTGCCAGGCACACAGAAAGCCTATTTGAAGTATGCACATAAATTTGGCATAGCTGTTCTTTCTGTGCTCAGTTTTTCAGTAAAATAAACTCAAAAAAGTATCATTGTTTTCCTCTCCTAGTAAAAGGTGCTATGAGCCACAAATACAAGCACAAAAAGTCCCCACCCACCCAAGTCACCTGTATTGTTCTACAGTGTGCTTAGGCTACTAATGCTTTTGAGATTGCCTTCCTTCAGACACTCACTCTAGCCTGTCTTAATGGCTGAGGACAGAGTGTGGTGGCTGCTCTCAGCACTCAGGAGGTAGAGGCAGGAGATCACTGTGAGTTTGAGATTGTACTGGACTACCTAGTGAATTCATATGAGGCTGGCCTACATGTGAGACCCTTTTTCATACAAAACAAATGGCCACATGCAATATAGACTATACTAAATCATTTAATGTGTGTGCTTTACAAAGAGTCCCAGACATAATCATAACTGTCCTGTCCTTGTATGGTGTCCCCCTCCTCCTTAAATGATAGTTCAACCTACCATCTTAAAAATATACTCTTATAAAAAAATATATACTCTTATTCTGAGAAACTTTTGTATTTTGAGCTAGGATTTCACTGAACTGCTCTGGCTGACTTGGAACTTGCTATGAGGTGCAGGCTGGTCTTGAACTCACAGAGACCTGCCTGCCTCTGCATCCAGAGTGCCAGAGTCAAAGGTATACACCACCATGCCTGGCTCATGAAGAATTGTTTAAGATTCTAATATTACATGAGCATCATTTTCGATAGTTTTTATGTTTTAAAAACAGTTGGCCTGTAGAGGTATAAAATAGGCTAACATTTTATTTCCCTTTTTAAATTTTGAAATTATTTATTGGGGAGAGGCGAGGTGTTGTGGGTGGGTCCGTGAACGTCACAACGGGTATGTAGAGCTCAGAGGACACCTCCTAAGAGTCAGTTCTCTCCTCTCTCATGTGGGTTCCAGGGTCCAAACTCAGGTTTGCAGGTTTGTAAAGCAAGTACTGGTACCCACTAAGCCATCTAGCCAGTCCTGGTGTGAATATTTTACAGTATCAAATGCATACCCACAAAATTTATATCAGTGTTGCTGTAAACCCAGAGATCTTCATACTATTGATTTAACTCTAGGTGCCTGAGAAACATATCTGGTAGCCACACACTTAGTGTGGTGGCTAGGGGTTGGGGAAGTAAGTAACTAAGTAAGGAAGAGGTGGAGAGCTGACCTCTGAAGGGCTGTGAGGGTTCAGCTCCTTTGCAGGATGCTTGTGTAGCATGCATGAAGCTCTGCATTTGATCCCCAGCACCGAATAAAGCAGGCAGGGGGCACAGGCCTGTAATCACAGCTATGGGAGGCTGACGCTGGAGGATCAGAAATTTACACTAGTTCATCTCAAACCAACAAATAAATCAAACCTGCTAAGTTAAGTTCTCAGGGAAAGGTTTAGCTGTGGCTACTTTGAAGGCCTTCTGGGTAGTCACACAGGTACTCTGACAATTTCTGCTTGATTTTTCAGAGACGGTGGCTGCAATATGGCTCAGAGTGACTTCCTCTACCCAGAAAACCCAAGGAGGCGGCAGGAAGTGAACCGTCTTCACCAGCAGCTCCTGGACTGCCTGTCTGACAGCTTCCAGGTCACCAACGAGCTGGCAGGGGTTCTGAACACCCACTTGGGCTGTAAGCTGGCCTTCATCGAAATGAAAAGAGATGGGACCATCAAAGAAAACTGTGACATCATTATCCAAGCCATGACAAAAATCCAGAAGGAACTGCAAAAGGTTGATGAGGCACTGAAAGAGAAACTGGAGCCAACACTTTATAGGAAACTTCAGGATATCAAGGAAAGGGAGACAGAGAAGATAGCGATTGTGCAAAAGGTCATTTCTGTCATCCTGGGAGAAGCTACATCTGCAGCCAGTGCAGTGGCTGTTAAACTCGTGGGCTCAAATGTCACAACTGGCATAATTAACAAGCTGGTCACTGTGCTAGCTCACATCGGGACTTCTCTCCTTGGTAGCATTGGAATTGCTGTGCTCAGTCTTGGCATAGATATGATCATCCAAGCCATCTTGGGAGCAGTGGAGAAGACACAGCTTCAAGCAGCCATCAGAAGTTACGAGAAGCATCTGGTGGAGTTCAAGGCCGCCTCGGAGAGGTACCATCATGCCATCACTGAGGTCAGCAGTGCCGTGAAGCGCCAGATAAGATGAAGTCACGTCTCTACCGCTGGGCTAGTCCTCTGCTTCCCCCTCCATTGCAATGCTTATTTAACTAGCTTCATTTTCCATACTCCTCTCATGTTGACAGAGATGGAGTAAACGATTTGGAATGTTTGGGTTCTGGAGCAACAGTGAGTGCCCAACTCGGTGGTACCAGACCCTCAAGAGAGAGTCTCTAACCAGACGTTTTCTTCCCCTTCTGTCAGAACCATGTGGTAGAAATGCATCACCGAGCAGTAGGTACAGAATTGTTTCCTTGTTCCCAATCAGTGTCCTCAGACATCCCACATAAATGTAGAGACCATGCCTATCACCTGTCCCAGCCATCACATGGGTCTAACGAGACGTACCCATCGGGCTGGACACACACCTATGGGCCTGCAGGTGAACTAGAAGTGCTTCCATATTTTTCCCACTAGATTAAATCCAATTGTCTGAAAACTGGAAAGGACAGCAAAGCAGCCACATTTCCTTCAAGAACAAAAGGAGGCGATGGCGCTCACTCAACGTCTACTAACTACAAAGCGTGCCTGCGTAGATTTGGAAAAAGAGAAAATAATAAAACTTGTTTCTATAATGCAACTAATATTGACAAAGTGTCATGTATCACTTCAGCAGTGTAACACTCTGGAACATTCTAAAACACAAACAAGAAATAAATCCCAGCTATCCACGCATAAAACATATTAGGGGGAGGAAGAAGACTCCATGCCCTTTAGGAATTTTAGAAACAGCCAGAGGCTATGGAGGCCTACTGATACAACTTAATTTCTGTAGATACAGCATTTGTTTTCTAAATCCTTCAACTGACAATTCCCACTGAGTCAATTTTAGGGTCTACTTCAAAAATTATTATACTGTTGATGCTGAAAATGTCTTTTAGTTGTTTTGTTTTTAAGTACAAAAATACATTGATACATTAAAATAAAACATTGAGTGTATTTCAAAAATCTCTTACAAATTGAAAAATTTTAACTAGCCATATGACTTTTTCAAATGTATTACTTTTTATTTTATTGCTGCTTTTATGAATTAATTTCAACATATCACAATTTGGGTCACCTTCAGATTTATTATTATTAATAAATTCAAAGAGTAATCAAACCAAGAATTTACTAAGACACCCAAGCATCACGGGTCAGACGATGAGGTAGGATGGGGAGGTGGAGTTCTACTTATTGAATAGGCAAGTCACGGCTTCATAGGGATCCTATTTCAAACTTTTAATTTTTTTCTACTACAACAAAGCTTAAATATGGAACTGACGTAACGCTGTTATGGGACACACTTGACACATTATAAACATTAATATACATCTCTCGCAATACTTACGAAACACCTGATATCGAAAATTCCCTTATAACCTTTATCTGCAAAAGATGCTCAGCTAGCTTGAAAAACAATCAAGCATGAGAGCTTTATGAAGATTTCGTTTAAAATGCTTACCTTTAAGGGGAAAGGGGAAAGGAGTTTTAAGGAAAGGGGATGAAGAAGGAAAGGACGAAAACTAGAGAGAAATAATTATTCCGAGCGTGTAATGACATCATAAAGGACTTTGGGCTGATGGAAAGACCAGAAGAGATGGGAGTGTTACGTACCAACTTCTCCTCTGTAAAATCTAAAGCATATATTATGATTCTCTTTAAAAATATTTTTTTCTTGTAGTTTATTAGTGAGTCTCGCCAGGAAATGACTTTTTTTTCAGTTCCACGCGTTCTGAGTGTTTATGAGCCACTACTGAATTTCTAGGCGCACCAGGCACCAAAGGGCTGATGTTCGCCGAGTCGGTGCCCAGTGTTACTCGGGAGCTTGTTTTCATCCATTTACACCCAACACGAGGGACAAAACCAACACACGGCTCCGCCGGTGGGTGCACAAGCACCAGACATCACAGCAGAAGGAGCCTCCGGAAATACGTCAGAAGTCCGAGAGAGAAAAAATAATTGACCAATCAAATAACAGCTTCCTTCTTTTCATTCTTATTGGACTATATCAGTGTCAATCTACAATGCTTCGGAATGAGGTGGGTTCTTGGCCGACAGATATCCAATCGGATGTTGGATTGCAGCGGAAGCAACTCTGGCCCTGACGTCGTAGTGTCCTCTCTATGATCCCGGGCCTCAGCAACGCGGTGAGAGCGTCGGCCGCGGGTACAGGAAGTGACGTAAGGATGGCGGAGGGGCGCGAGGTTTCAAGATGGCGGGGTCTGGGTGGTTGACCGAGAGGCAGAGGTGAAGGCCCCGACCGCAGAAAGTAGGCTGGGACCGCCTGCTCCCCGGCCTCGCCGATCCGGAAGCCCCGCAGTCGCGTGAGTGTGCGCGGTCGCAGTGGTCCGTCGCCCGCTACTCTCTCCGGGGCCTGCGCGGCCGCTTCGGAGACACCGGGCCCAGGGGCCGCGCTCTTCCTCCGCCGGGCCGGGGCCGCGGGAGCTGCGGGCTGGAGGGCTCCGGGGCCCGGCCGGCTTGGCGCGGCGTCCGACAGGCCCGGCCCGTTAGGTCCGCTTCCTGAGCGCGTCGGCCAGCGGCCTGGGTTGACGTCCGGCCGCTCGAGTCGGTGTCAACCGTCGCTATGGTGCCGGCAGTTGCGGTTGAGGCCTCGGCGGTGGACCTGGAGGGGTCCCGCAGCGCGTGTGCTCTCCGGGTTCCCCCGATCTTTTGACCCGATCTCTCCCCGATGCTTCTGCTTTTAGGAGAGTCGCTTTTGTAGACGAAGGCAGATAGCCTTGTAAAAATTCTCTGTGACTCGCGGCTCTTGTGTTTTCAGTTGTGGGAGGGGGAAAAAAGGTCAGAACGTGAACCTGAGGCTACTTCAAAAGGGGGAACACTAAAGACGATCAAAAATATCAAAGCTTGTATCCGTGGTTTTTTTTTCTAATTCTCTATAATCAGTACCCTTCTCCTTCCATCGTCCTGCACCTCCTGTTTTCAAATAACGAAACATTTTCTGAGGAAATAATCGCCACCGAACGGTTATGAACCATCTAGAAAGTAGCAGGGAGTTGGGCAGTTGGTGACTTCACGAAAGAAGTATTAACTAAAGCCCACAAGGTCTTAAAGGAGCCAGAGAAGTTACAGTTGTGGATCTGTTAAATTCAGTTTAGGATCTCCTCATTCCTTACCTTTAAAGGTGCCTCTTAAAGAAAGTAGATTTGTTTAGTGTGCAAAGGGGAGCAACAAGAAGGTACCCCTAGCCAAATGTCACATAGTTTCAATGGGAAACATTCGTTACTTTTTATTATTGGAAAGGTTAAATTTTGAAAGTTAACATTCATTCATTTTTAATGGAAAGAGGACTGATACAAATAAAAGCCCTGAAAATATTTTCCTACTGTGACTGCCTTTTTTAGTTACCTTAAAACAGGTAAATCTCCGCCTAGATCCATTATCCCCTATTTGTGTTTGATTTCGCCCTCTGTTTAAAGGGGGGTGTATGAAAGGACTGATGACTTCCTATACTCGGGGTTTGTATCCATTGGTAGGACATTTTCTAGTTAGTTTTGTTTTGTTTTGAGATAGGCTCTTATGGATCAGTCCACATCCAAGTGCAAGCTCCTAGTTGATTGTTTTCAGCTGCCAGTGCTATATAAAGCGTAGCAAAGTGTTAAATAGTGAGTGAGTGATACCGCATTGCCTTGACTAATACAGACGTTAGCTTTCCTGTGGTCAGCAAAGGTAAAGCTATATAATACATTCAGAATTAAAGAAAGCAGGTTCTCACAAAATCAGTAATCAAAGGGATATTTCCAGAAATTAATGAAAATTTTCAAAAAGGAAGACATTTTAAACATACAGGAAAACTGAAATTGTTCTTTTTTTTAAAATTGCAGGTGTTTTGTTGTTTTTTTTTTTTAATGAAGAAGTAAATCATATAAATTGTCAACATGGGACGGAGATCAACATCCTCCACCAAGAGTGGGAAGTTTATGAACCCCACAGACCAAGCTCGTAAGTGCCATTAGTGTGGAATGACGAAGTAGAAGAGTTAAAAACTGCAGAGAATATCTCACTGTGGCTTAAGCATTGGTAGGAGTGAGTTGGGTAAAGTCATGTTGAATTCTTATTAAAATTAATTCACATGACTAAACTGTTGAGAATGTAAGCCAGTTAAAACCATGTTTCTTTGCTGAACTTGGTTGAATTGCAAGATGAAATCGGCTTATCTTTTGTATTGGAGGTTTTTAACATGAGTTTTCAAGTGATTGTTTGGTATTTGAGAATCTCCTTGTGGTTCAGTTATCTCTGTGAAAACACACATTTTGGCATTGGGGGTGTGAGGGTTTGAGGTGCTACAGCTGTAGACATGTCGGAGCCTCTGCTGTTGTCACATAGCCCACGTTGCCTAGGGAAGCCTCAGGAGAAGAGTGTGTGTGTGTGTGTGTGTTGTCGTATAGATAGTAAATGCTGATACTGAAGACGTGTGTTACATGGTCTCTTCCCTTCTCTTTAGGAAAGGAAGCCCGGAAAAGAGAACTGAAAAAGGTACAAATTTAGATGAACTCTGTGTATTAATTGAGATTTTTGAATAAAATAGTATTTCAAATTATATGCCAGAAAAGATGCTTTATACTTCTAATAAAAAAACAGACAATTGACTGTTTAAAACAGTGCTTTGGGGCTGGGGTGATGGCTTGGTGTTGAATAGCAGCACATAGTGCTCTCGCAGAGGCTCTGAGTCCATTCATGGCAGCAGTGTTAGGTGGCTCACAACCATCTGTTCTGATCTCCACAAACACATGCCCATGCATGCACATAACACATACTCATAAAAAATGAAATTTTAAAATGCCTTTTGAGAATAATTCTTAAGTGAGTGTGGTAGTTTGTGCCTGTAATCCCATCACTTGGAATGTGGAGATCATAGTCAAGAGTATCAGGAGTTCAAGGCCAGCCTGCTACATCAGACCCTGTCTTCAGAAAGAAATTATTTTTGCTACTTATCAAAATGTAGCTGCTTTGTTAAATTAAGCTATTGAATGAATGCCAAAAAAATGTTGCTGGAAATCTTTGTGTATCTTGTTAGCTATTGGTTTGACAGATACTTAGAGTAGACATTTGGTGTCACTCTTCAGTGCAGTGGGGCTTTTATAATCCTAATATGCCTTTGTTTGACTCTTTAGTCTTGAATCTTTCAAAAACTTCCCTGTCCAGCATAGTATTCTTTTAATTTCATTGCAACTCTTATTTTTTGTTTTTAAATTAGATTTTCTTTTAGTAGTTGCTGTCTAATTGGGTTGATGGAATTACTTCCTAAAAAGGCAGATCTTTTTAGTAAAGTCTAGACATTGTTGAGAACATGAAATCTCATAGCTGTTTCTGGTGGTTTAAACACGTGAAACCAAGGGAAATGTGAAATTATTCTCAGATTCGTGAGGCAAATTGAAGTAAAAGATGTCCCGAGCATCTAGCTTCTCACTAGTTTTCTCTTCTGTTTCCCTAAGAACAAAAAACAGCGCATGATGGTCCGAGCTGCGGTGCTGAAGATGAAAGATCCCAAACAGATTATCCGGGACATGGAGAAATTGGATGAGATGGGTAAGACTGTATGGAAAGGCCAGGTTTAATAGCAAGTGTCATAGTGTGTTGTGCGCAGCAGCGAGCAGCGTGGGCCTAAGGAAACAGCAACCCGATAGCACCGGATACCATGTTTTTTAATGTTATGGAAATAAAGTGAAAAAGATAAGATCTATTTCTAGCTGGAGATCATATATCCTGAAGAAAGAAGCCATCATTCAGTTGGAATTAATTA